AACTTGGCGGGTGATGGCAATGCTTGCGCCTAACAGCCAGAGTAGCAGTGATCCGGTGCCTTCAGCTAAGCCCACTCCGCATTCTCGTAGTCCACCACACCGCAACCCGGCGAGCTCTGATTTTGATGAGCCCATGCAAAACGAAAGAGGCGATGACACTGTGGATACAGGCACGAGCCTAGATACCACTGCACGCGTCGTGAGTCGTTTTCGCGTGGCTACACATTGTCGTGGAGCGGCCTGAAAATGGCTTGACAGTTGAAGGGCAACGAGGATGGGCGGTGGCCCGGATCTGATGTCTGATCCTGGAAGTCACTCAACCAGGCCCTCCGTTCAAGTGACTCCGGGGCTCGACCCGAAACCCGGCCCGGGTTTCATGAATCCCGAACCCGAACCCGAGTTCCAACAAAACCGAGCTCGGACTTTGGTGAACCCAAGTATTAGTATGGCCAGTCCCGGACCGGGACAGAGTGGTGCGATGATTAGGGTTGAAGTGAGGTGTGATAGCCAACCTAGGTATGCAGGAAGATAGTCAGCGATAGGGAGATAGGCAGAGCAAAAATCAGTCTCAAATATTCTTGGTAGGGAGATAGGCAGAGCAAAAATCAGTCTCAAATATTCTTGGTGGCACACAAGTGTCCCAAGTTTTCCTAGTCCTACAGACGTCTTCGTGTCTTCTAGTCCTCGGAGAGCTCCCGTCGACTGGCCATTAGAGCCGCCCCGATAAGCGCGACCCCCAGTTAATCGGAGTACTTTTGGTGTACTCAACCTCCAACCCCGTGCCCGAAGTGAGGGATACATTAAACGATACCACCGCGGCGTCACACGATAACCAGATACCAAGTGTGAAGACCCGCGTCAACCCGATAACGCTGCGCAAACCCCGTGATACCGCCGACTCGATAACGCCGCACGGCCACGAACAATTCTAACGACGGAAGACGAACAAGGTCCGATGTCGTCAGTCAGAAGAGTGCGGAGTGAAGACCAGCCACGCCGTGCCCAAGACCAACAACCGCTACATGGTTCGCCACCAAGCTTGACAAACGACTCTACCCAGAGATACGCTGCTCAAGATCCGGGAAAATACCCACGCCGCCACAAGATACGGCAGCGACGGGTTTGTGCTAGGGTGAAATCGAAAATTTTGCGAGTGCGCTACTCCACAATGATACCGCGACCCGGGAGTACTACTCCGGAAGATGGAGTTGTAATCAAGCAAGAACCGGAACCGGAAGCGCCATCGATCGGAAGGTTGTCGGTGGTAAGTGAGCTCGAAGAGAGACCTGTCGCGTAGTTGAGCTCGGTGGGAACCTTCACGACAGACCATGGGGCCAGCGACGAACGAGAGGGCTACGAAGAACAGTTTGCCGTTCCCAATGTGGCTCCGCCTGGGCCACCACGGATTTCGGCGAAAGTCACAGTCCGCCCGGTCTGAAGCCCACGAAGGCCCAAGACCAACAATCAACGCCCGGAGGGGCAAAACCCGCGAGGCGCAAGTCGAAGATGAAGAAGAAGCTGCGCGCACCGGAGTCGGATGACGAAGCGTCATCCAAACCGCGGGGTAAGAACGTGGGACGCGAATACACCACGGAGGAGAGGGAAATGGTATGCGCTGAGTCGCACGGAACTGTTCAAGAAACCGGAACAAACCCCAATCCTCGCCTTCCTCAAGCCGAAGCTGATCGGTGAACTTACGGAGTTTTCCATGAACCCGAGTACACGAACCTCGCGAGCGAACGTTTGGCGATCCAGACGTTGTTCACAATGCTTCGAGAGTCAGGTTTCATGTTGGACGCATTTGAGATGGAGCGTCTGTACGATTGGGATTTGGAATCATGGAAGAACGCAATCCTCACCATCCTCGCTCCTCTCACCGTGCTAGTCGGAACGATCAAGCCTAAAACGCCTTCAATCCAGACCACCGAACCGCGGACGCAGACTTCGCTGCCACCACCGAGGTACGCATCGACCGATGACTCGGACAGTAGTGTCGAGTCGCCAAAACGAATGCCGATGCGTCGCACGCCGCGTGTGATGCAACTCACAGCGAAGTCGGCAGAGCCCGAAGCACGAGCGCCGGAAGAAGCTGTCCCAAAGGCTCTCGAAGAAGCGATCATCCGACTGACTACGAGCTCGAACTCCACGACCGAAGTGGGTACAGATTTTACCCGGTAGTGCATGTGTCACGCTTAAAGCCGGTAGACGAATTTGGAGATCGACCGACTGCTTGTTTGATACAGGACGTGAACGAGGCCCCATGGTTAGATTTCGACGAGGACTTGCTCCCAGATGATAGCTGGGAACCAGGTCATGTCGCGGGTGAATTTGAAGTCGAAGCGATAGAACTCCTCTAGCACAGAACGAGCCGTCAGAGAGTTCAAGGTAAAATGGGTCAGCTATGATGAGAGCCTGCATCCAATCTCTCGTGCGGTGGTCTATTATACGACTATCTCTGAGAGAAACGTCGTGACCGAACGTTGCAAATGGTCCAAGTCGCTGACGAAGATTAGATGCGACTGACGAATGATCTGTCTGTGGGGTCAAATGCAGCCCACAGCAACAGACGAAAGCCGTTACTGCACTGGAGTGTATATTGCATTTTGTATATGATGTGAACGAATTTTCGAAGTGGAAAATGGAGATTACGAGATTACTTGGAATTACTACTAAATTGATTACTTAAGAACTGAACTATTACGACACCAACCGCTCGCTCGTCGCGTTCTGGACTAGCATCTCGAACGGAGCGAGTACTATGTCAGATGGAGGTTCCTCCGCATCGTGAGCAGGAACCTCAACACCAGTGGCGATGGCCGAGTTCTCGGTCGCTGCACTACCAGGCCCTGAAGTTGCTGTCTCAACAGGGACATATGAGATCGAGTCCTCGTCCAGAGCCTCAGCCGTCTCAACAAGAGCTGGGGAGAATTTTCAGCACCGACCGATCTCTCATCAGCAGTCCCAGCGGGCGAACTTTCAGTGATCCCAGCAGCAGTAGGGACCATGTTGATCCAAGGGGCTATGAGATCAGTGTCGGCCAGAGCCACAACGATGCCAGAGATGACCGCCTGCCGAGTCATCGAAGTCGGCACGAAAAGTGGGGCGCTGGGATTGTAGGGAGCATACGTGATGTTGTATGGGTGCTCTGCAGGGGCATCAATACAGCAGTTTCTCCAAGGCGGCTTGGCATCCAACACCCGCAGCTCTCAGAACCAATCAGTGGTAGCTGGAGCCCATTCCAGCACATCCGTTGAATACTGGAGGTACCTGGGCTCCAGCAAAACATGTGCGAGTGCGACCTCCAGCACTCGTACACCACTCCCACAGCTGACCAAACTGCTGACGCTGAAGATCGGCGCGGCTGTTCCTCATCCTGTAAAAGTGATCCCATAAACCAAGGATAACGTTAGTAAACGGATTCAAGGGGTCCGAATCCTCCTTAAACTTGCGGATGGCGTTATTCAAGACCGACACTTGGAGCCAATGCCGCAGCTCCCACAACGCGACGCAGAGGTCGATCTTCTCGTTGTCCCCATAGCAGTGGCCCGAGAACCGACGCCACATTCGGACCCGCCCACCGTGACCTGATAGCAAGATCAGGACGACTATGCGGAGCGACTGACGTTTGCGCTAAAAAGGGCGCACGATCGAGGGAGGGAGAGACGTCGTTCTTCATGGTCCATGGATGGAATCCGCGGTCGATACTCGAAGCGGTTGTTTCCGTGGGATCGATACGCCGCCGCGATTGCGATACACGAAGGCGGTGGTAGCACATACAGGGACAGTATCGCAGGGCCAGGGCAGTGGTCAATCAGAGTCTGCGAGACGCGATCAAATCTAGGGAGAACCAATATAACGGAAACGTTAGGCCACACCGGATTGAAGAGGGCGCCCAGGTATGGTTTTACCTTGATCGCGTAAAGGAAGGCTACGCGGACAAGCTCAAACACATGTAGCACGGGCCATTTTTGCGTAATTGCGCTGATCGACAACCACGCAGTCCGTCTCTAGACCGGCGGTTCAGGATATCGCATCTTCCCGATAGTGCATCTGTCGAAATCGAAGCCAGTGTGGACATTCCCAGATCTTCCAAAGGTTGTCTTGAATACCGAAGGTGGTGAACGGGTGGATTTCGAAGAAGGATTGTTTCCAGATGATAGCTGGGATACTCCCGAGGACGAATTCGAAGTGGAATGGATCGCGGATATGCGATCAGGAACGCGTACCTGCTATGGGCGGGTGCACCGAGAGTTTCAGTTCTATTGGAAAGACTATGACCAGCCGACATGGGTGGACGAAGCCGATCTCAACTGCGCCGCCTTGTTCTACGAATACGAACGTGGACGTACCAGCCATAACTCTTTCAATGTGATGCAATTACATGAAGAAGGGACGAACACATCGACGGGCTGAGGTCGTGTGTAGTGTGGCCACACACTGGGGAGGATAGATATTTGTATAATGCGCGGAGAACACCTGATCACAACCGGGGAAAAGAAAGAGGAACATCAGAAGTTAGAAGAGAAGTCAAAATGATGGGTGGCACTACGTTACTCGGGTTGATGGAGAGAGATCGACAATCGGAGCAATGACCGAAATCGATGACCAGGATTGGCGATCAGAATCGATGATCGAGGTCGCTGATCGAAACCGATGGTCAGGATCAGGATCGATGATCGCGATCGATGAACCTAGAAAGTCCAAGACATCTTGATCGACTTCTGCTTCTTCTTCCGGAGGCAATCTCACAACCCCCCCACGGACAATTGTTGATAACCGACTGGCGCATTCTTGAGTCCGAATGACATGCGGGTCCATTGGAAGTGTCCAAATGGACAGACGAACGCCGATATCAGCTTTGCTAGTTCGGACATCTTGGCCGCCCAAAAACCACTATCCATATCGAAACACATAAACCACATGACATCCTCAAAACCAACCAGCAGATCATCTATCAATGGTAGGGGGTAATTGGACAATGTAATGAAACCATTGACAACTCAGTAGTCGACACACATTCGAATATCAAAACCATTTTTGTTAAGGACAATCACAATGGGTGATGATTCCGAATGATCGATGAGCCCGGTTTCCAAACGTTTCTTCAGCAATTCGTATACTTTGATTGTAAAGTGTGGTGCAACAGATCGGGGACGTTGAGCGACGGGGTTTGCCTCTCCAACATCCAAATTGCAGGTCACACCTCGCACTGGGGCTGGAACCGCACTCCCATCTCCCAGAAAAATGGCTCAATGATACTTCAGGATCGCTCGCAATTTTCGCTTGTCTTCTGGAGTGCTAGTCTCAGGTTCACCAACATCAGCCGAATCAATATCACATTTTGGAGATAGTTCTTCGATATCCGGAAGCAACGCGAGTTGTTCCCGGAGTTGTGATAACGTTTCACTCCCTTCATGAATATAAACGGCAGGTTCGAGGTCCAACTCTTCAGCACTTATTCGCATGGCACGTTCGTACTCTAGCTCGAGCTGCTGAACTGGCGTACAAGCCATCACTGACACCGGCAGGTCCGAAAACACATCATCCTTGGGTTCCATTTTTGGAATGTCCCCCAAGTGGACGTCTGGAAAACCATCATCGACACTAATTGAGTCGCAAAACTCATCTTCGTCCGAGTCCTGGTCATCCGGCACTTCTTCGGACTCGCTTATTGGGACCTCCGTTATTCCATCTTCAACTTTCGAAATCCCACTCCCTTCAGGCATTGTCGTAGTCGCTCTCGACATCTCAGTGACAACTCCTTACGTAATTCAATTGTTTCATCATACACTTCGCTGGGACTATCTGAAATTTGATCACTCTCGCTTCCTCGCAACCAGGCGGTGGACGAACCATCATCTAAGTTGGCCACGGGTAGTTCGGCGTTTAGACGGCCGGTGGTTCCATCTCTAAAGGTCGTCCAGGCGTTGTGACTCTCGAGCCTGGGCTTTCGCGGATATAGTATTTTATAAATGAGGGTCTGCCTTTCCCGATATCTTCGAGTACCAACGCGCACATAACGTCCCGCTCTAGGAAAGAACCAATTCTCGTCAACTTGAGCAACTTCGATCCGCCAGGCGATAGTAACAATGCGGTTCGAAATGTTGATTACCCTAATAGCCGCAGGAACTTTCCAAGCATACAACCCACCGATTTCATCTTCCAGTCCATACGGTCGACGACCGCATTAACGTTCGGAACGCGCGCAGTCGGATCATCTGGTACTGTACAGGTTGAAGATACATATTATACTTTGGACGGATTCCGTGCGTCGTACCATGCTTGACGTCGGATAAACCTCTCCCTGAAAGTAAAACTGTCTCTTCACCCGGAAGTTGAACGAGTCCCTCTTTGACGCACAGCCGTACTCCAACTGAAAACATAAAGGTCATTCCGAGCAAAATATCTATATTTCCTCCAATGTTTGCGACCCAAACATTAACCACATAAGTCACTCTTGGTCCCAAAGTGATTTTCACCTCGGCATTCGCAGTAATGCTGGTCGGTACACCTCCGAGTCCGGACACTGAAATCTGTTTGTCGAACTTGAGCTTGAGTTTTAGCCTACGCGCAACACCCAAACTCACCATGTTCACAGATGCCCCAGAATCGAAAGTTATTCACGGCTCCATGTACTAATGCAATTTTCCGATTCTCTTCTTGCTCAAGATCGTGCCACCATCCATAACGCTCACCTCGTTTCAGACAAAATTCTGGACGGATGGCGATATCCGAATCTTCTGAAGGTTTGCTCTGAAAGTCATCCGAAAGGGAACTTTCCGCAAGAGGATCTTCCGCATATGCATTCATGGATTGTTGATTATCTTGATCTTGCCTTCTCAGCTCTGGGCCAACATAAGCTAGCACACATAATCTGGGGTGGGGGGTGGGCCCGTCGCGTACTGGATCCCCATCCAACAGGCTTAGTGGTTAAACGGCTTCGTCCCAGAGTCAGCGTGTCCATCCAAAAGTTGATTGAGAAGGTGATCACGATTTCCGAATGCACTGTCAGACTTCCTTTCATGGCGTTTCAAAATGTAAGCTTCTCGATCATCACTCCACCAGATTTCTTCATGCTGTTTCAAGGTATGTTGCAAGTCCATCAGACTGCGGAGCCGCTGGCCTTGCAACGTCGATCTCAGTTGGGTGCCCTTCAACTTCTTGATAAACACTTTCAGAAGTCGGTTGCGTGCGATGTCTATAGGCTTGATGTCAATGTCCGCCTTTCCAGCAATCTTGTTCAATATGTAGTAGAACTCTCGAGGGGTTTCGCATTTTTTTTGGAAAGTCGTGTAGTAGTATTCCGAATCTGGAGTCTTCGCCTTGCAATACGTTTCACGGAAAGCCTTCACAAAGCGCTACCAACTTCGACGCACTGATTCATCCAGATTTCCACACCAATCACGAACAGCCGAAAAAAACTTCAGCTTGCAGTAGTAAACCTTCGCATGGTCTGACCACCTTCCCATGACCGCGAGACTTTGGAACTTCTCCAACCAGCGCGTTCGGACAGCCAGTGGCTTCTTCTCGTCAAAGTCTTCAAGCACTCTGATGTTAACCATTGGGTTGAATATAGTCGTCCCTTGGCCGGTTGCACGACCCTGTGTCACAGACACGAGATCATTAAACGAGCTACTGTAAGAGTCACTGTCTCTGGACTCCTTGTCGGAATCGTGGTCTTCATCCGAAGGCTCGTCATCCGGCGGACCGTGCTTCTCTGGGGGTTGACTTGGCGGGGTCGACTTCTTCTTCGAATCATCCTTCGGCAGTACATTTCTTCCTTGATCCGGCTTTCTTGTACTCCTCTTTTGAGGCTCGCCCTCCGCAGTTACCTTTTGGACATCTGCCGTCGCCTCCGTCTTCACCGCTGTCGTCGTTGCTGCCTGAGCGTCAGCCGTGTGCGCGACATTCTCCTTGGTCTCATTTAGGTCTCTTAGGGCGGCCTGTGTCTGAGTGGCGTAGAGCATTTTGACTTCTGGCTGTACTATCTTTTTTCTCAGAACAGGTGGGACACCCATGATTACGCCATTTGAGACTGGCTTCCCAGTTGTTGAATCAGAGTTCACATACACCTGAGTTGACATTTCGGGGACCGGTTCCAACCCATTGTCACACCTTTGCTTCTTCAGACGCCCGGCGAGGAACGATTGCAGATTCTTGTTAGCCTCGTGCTCGTGGTCACGTTCCAACCGCAGCGTCTGGAACTCCTTCTCGAAAGCGGCCATCTCGTCCAAGTGTTGTCGCCGCTGTACCTCCATGTGTGTTTCGCCTCGAGCCTGATACTCAGTGAAGCGTGATTCCAATGCATCCTAAGCCTGATATACAGTTTCCATGTGTGGTACTTCTGGAGCTTGGCTTCCCGACGCTTGGTGTCGAGCATCGTTCAGAAGAAGCTCCTGCTCTTCTTTGACGTCCAAGTTTCCGGTATCACGCAGCACAAGCGCACTCATCGCGGCCATCAGCGCCGCTCGGGTCTTCTGCATTGGCGCCATCAAAACCTTCACTTCGTGATGTTGGTCAACTTCCAAAGGTATTTGTCGGCGGTCTTCCGGTGTGATGTACGTCTGAACGTAGCCTTCAATTGGAACGGCTCCGCCGGTTTCTTGAGTGGTCATCACTCGTGGCGTCACAACGGGGAAAGGCATGTGTTTTCCAGCTCCGATTCCAAATGACCATCCTGACGATCCAGATGCGCTGTCTCGCGACACTCGACTTCCGGACGTCGCACTCAGTAGAGATTCATCCGAACCTCCCGTTGCCCGAAATATTCCAGAGCTGAATCCTGATGAACTCCTCATGGAACTTGTTCTTTGGGCCTCTTCTGGAAACTTCTGGATAACCACCCACCATCACAGCACTCTTGGAGGTCTGTCCGTCGGGGACTGTCATCAGCACGTCAACCTCTTCAGTCGACAAGAATCGTCGAGTCGCTTCCGAAATCAGTTGTCTTCATTCCAGAAATTCGATATTCAGGAGCCGCTGCAGGCCATCGCATACCTATTGGATCAGCACCGAGTGGACTTTCGAAATCAGGGCTTCTGACCAACCTGGGATCACATTCTAGAACCCAAACCAGATTCAGCGAGAAGCGTTTGGATGATCGCCACACATTCAACTGGCGAGAGTCTCTCGACCGGAATCATGAGACCGGTCAGGTCCAGTGCCAGCCCAAACGTGTTGTGGCGAACTCGCAGCTCAGAAATCATAGCATCAGCCTGCGATACCACCGACATCCGTTGTTCCAAATATCGCGCCATTTGGAGGGTCGCCTAATTGTATGCTTGCGAGTCGCGTTTCCCAGACGGCCAGTCGTACGGAATTCCTGGCGGCACTGTTTGACCGGCCGGAGCCTCTTTCCACTGTTGACATTGCGAAACGACATAGAACTTGGCCTGACCCTCGGTTATCTGAACGCCAGCCTGACTAACGCTTTCCGCTTGGGCCGGTATCATATCCTCATCGCGAGTATCAACAGTCACCGGATTTCTGGAAGTCTGACTTTCAGAAGTCGGATGATCCTATTGGTCTTCGAGGGGCGGTGTCTCCGTGAGAGCTAGGGACATCTGCATGTCTTCAGTAACGGTTTCTTCTTGAACAGTCAATAGAGGTCGTTCGACCTTCACGTCGATCTTCTCTGGGACAATTTCCGCTTCGTTCGGACGCTGAGGAGCGTCCGTAACTCGATCCCCAGCTGAAGGTTCCGACTTCACCATGACCTCCACCACCGATTCTTCGTCCGACTCTTCGACGTTTTGTTGGTCCGATCCAGAGTCCTCACTTCGGCCGGAACTTTCTGATGAATCGTCTTCCAGATCTGACTTTCGAGTGTCCGCTTCAGAACCTTCTGCAGAACCATTCTCGGAATCGTTGGCCGACGACGCTTGGTGCGCGTCAGAATCAGCTGACTCTGCTTCCGGTTCTACAGAAGTTGAAGCGTCCCTCGCTTCTTGGGCTGCCTTCCGAAGTGCTGCACTCTGTTTTCTGTTATCACGCTCCACTTCGTCCAGAGTACGATGTTCCTCTGGCAGCAACACTTGCACTCGACGCGAAGACCGGACCGGTTCTCCAGATGCCGACCCATCGCGTCCTCATTCCTTCTGGATATTTTCACTTGTAGTCATAAGAACTGTCGTTAGAAGTTAATAAGTAACCAGCACATTATTGACTCAATCAATACAAACTCAGTGAAATCACCCTAGTCCAAATCCGGGCACGCGCAAAATCTGACACGAG